CACACACACACACACACACACACACACACACACACACACACGTCTTCCATAAGGACTCCTGATTGGCTGGCTCAACCTCATTGCCTGGGAAGGGAGGGATTCAAAATCGCCATTCCACAGCCCCAGTTCTTCTCCTGAGCGCATGGCACGTTTGTTTCAGATTAACGGGGCAGAAGATGAATAAGGAGTTGGTGTGGTCTAAAGAGTCGTGCCGTTGTTTGAGCTGGAAACTTGAACGTTGTGATCATTGGTACATGACCCATGGTCGCCCACTTTTGAAAATGATTCTGTGCTTGTAGCATGGAAGTATACCTGGGACTTTTAGAACAAAATGTAGTGATTATATGATTTTCTTATTGTAGTGGGCAGGCTTAGCTGAACTGAGAACTGCCGAAGCAAGGCAGGCAGCTTGTGATGAACTGTTCACAAATGAAGAGGAGGAGTATAGCCTTTATGAAGCTGTAAAATTTTTAATGCTGAACAGAGCCATTGAACTATATGACGATAAAGAGAAGGGAAAGGATGTGCCGCTTTTCTCTGTGCTTCTCTTTGCTCGGGACACATCAAGCGACCCTGGACAGCTGCTAAAGAACCATCTAAACCAGGTGGGACACACGGGTGGCCTTGAACAGGTGAGTTGTACCTTTGGGGATGTATTAGCCCAAAACAGCAGCTTTAACCTTTATCTCACAGTTTTTGTGGGTCAGAAATTCAGGAGCAGCTTAGTCGGGTGGTTCTGGCTCGGGGTCTCAGGAAGTTGCCGTCATCAGAGCCCGACTGGGGCTCGAGGATCCATGTCCAACACGGCAGGAGGCCTCGGGGGGTCCCCGTCATGTGGGCCTTGCTGTAGGGCTGCTTGAGTGTCCTCACAGCATGGCAGCTGGCTGCTCAGAAAGTGATTCATTAAGTGAGCGAGGAAGAAGCCATTTTTGATGATTGAACCTTGGAAGTCACACACCACCACTAACATCACATTCTGTTTGTTAGAAGCAAGTCACTAAGTCCATTCCACACTGAAGGGAAGAGCACCTTGTCGAGCCAGGAGTGCCAAAGACTTGTGAACCTGTTTCATAACCACCACGGTTGTCTCAGCCTGGACTTGCTTCTGCAGGCTGCTGGGTGGGATCAGTACCCTTGGCTCTGGTAGTCTACAAATAAAAGAAGCGCTTGGAAGAGTCATCTGAAGGGTCTTGATTAATCATGGCAGCTGTAGCTGTATTAGGTAGCATCCTTTAAAATAGAAATGGAGTCACCTTCGCCAGTAGAGCCCCGCTTGCTCTTGGAGCTTTTCTAGATGTGCTAAGTTTGGAGTGTTACAGAGACCCCATGCAGTTCTGGCCCATGAGCCAACAGTTGACTCACCAGACCTTGCACTCTCTATCTTTGGTGTGTTCACAAAGTTGCCCTAAAAAGCTTAAGTCTTTTTTTTTCTTTCCCCCAGTAGACTAGCCAGCCACTCAAGTAGAATTAATAAGGCCATCGACCCACAGTGCGACCTTTCTCCTTCCACAGCTGACTCTTGTGCTTGCCTTTTCTTGTGCTCAGGAAAGAGCATAGATGATGGTCACGCTGGGTCCAGGAGGATTGAAAATAATTATTTTACACAATTGTCTATACTTACGATGTAGGTTAGGTTACTTACATGTCCTGAACGCTAGCAAATACCTTGCCATGAAAAGCCTAGTAGAGCCTGGTTTGCATATGGGACCTCAGGTTGCTCCTGAGTCCCCACAGGTCTGTTGTAATGGAGAGTCCTTTTTTTTAAACACCTTTATTGAGATATAATTTATATACCATAAAATTTATGCTTTTAAAGTGTTCAACTCAGTTTTTAATATGTTCACAGAGTTTTGTAGCCATCACAGCAGTGTAATTTTAGACGGTTTTTATCACCCCTGAAAGGAACCTCATATCCATTAGTACTCCTCCCCCTCCTCCCCAGCCCGAGGCAGCCACTCATCTACGTTCTGTTTCCGTAGAACTTGCCTATCCTGGACATTTCGTATAAATGGAATCATAATATGTGTGTTTGTGACTGGCTTCTTTCACTGAGCCTGACGATTTCAAGGCTCATCCACCTGCAGCATGTATCAGTTCTTCACTCCTTTTTATTGACAAATACTGTTGATTGTATGGATATATCGCATTTTATTCATGCATTCGTCAGTTGATGGGCATTTGGGTTATTTCCATTTTTTAGCTATTATAATAGTCCTGCTATGAACATTCATATACAAGTTTTTTTGTGTGGACATGTGTTTTTAGTTCTCTTGGGCATATACCTAGGAGTAGAATTGCTGGGCAATGTGGTAATTTCTTTGTTTAAAAATTTTGAGGAAATGCCAAACTTTTAAAGCAGCTACATCATTTGACATTCCTACCAGCAATGTTTCAGGGTCCTGTTTCTCCACATACTCACCAACACTTTTTTTTTTTAATTGCGTAGAAACTCATATAACAGAAATAACCATTTAAAGTGTACAGCTCAGTAGCTCTTAGTACATTTTCGATGTTGTGTGACTATTACCTGTATCAAGTTCCAAAACATTTCATCACCCCCCACCAAAGAAAAACCCTACCTGTTACGCAGCCGCTCTCCGGTACCATTTGTCTTTGATGGTAGCCATTCTGCTGGGTGGAAGTGGCAGAACACTGTGCTTTTGATTTTTTTCCCCTGATGACTTTTCATGTGCTTATTGGCTATTTGCATATCTTCTTTGGAAAAATGTCTGCCCTGTTCAGATCTTTTGCCCAGTTTTTAAACTGGCCACTTGTTCTTTTATTTTTGAATTATAAGAGCTCTTCATAAATTCTGGATACAAGTCCCTCCTCAAACATATGATTCATTCTTGATGATGTGCTTGTTTATAATGACCAGACGAGAAGGGCCAGGCTGGGCCCACGAGGAGGAAGAAGGGTTTCGGCATCGCTGCACTCTGCTCTGTTGGGACACCTGGCGTGGCGCAGGTGGTAAGCTGCATCTCCCCTGTGGCTGCCCTCCACACACCTGCTGCTCTTCCCCGCAGGTGGAAATGTTCCTTCTCGCTTATGCCGTGCGCCACACCATCCAGGTGTACCGGCTCTCCAAGTACAGCACTGAAGAGTTCGTCACGGTCTACCCCACGGACCCACCCAGGGAATGGCCGGTGGTGACCCTGATCGCCGAGGACGATCGGCACTACAACGTCCCCGTCAGAGTGTGTGAGGAGACGAGTCTGTGAGACGCACACCTGGATGTCCCGGCAGCTGGGCCTCGGCCTGGGCCTTGGCCTGCTGGGCTCTTAGAACAACTTCCCGGCCCCCTGGGCCCTGTGAGCCAGGCTGGGATGTCCTGAAGACTAGCTTTTGACTAGCAAGTTTTCCCCTCCTCTAGGATGCAGTATGTTTTAGTGGGGCCTTCAGAGCACACCTGTTGGAAGGTATAAACTACATCCTTTCCATAAAACACTTTTGTATCAGGAGACTCATTTTGAACAGGAATACGTTCTTTATATCTCAAATCAAACTTTCTCTAAGAGTAAACTGGCTTTTATTTTTTTTAAGATAGTAATGTTTTTTGTTGTTTTGGTGGTACGGCATCTCCGTAGTGCCCTTCCACGCAGTCTGCTTACGTGGTATAATTCTGGGATGGAGTCTGTTAATGGCACAGTCATAACATCCTCTGATAGTCTCACAAAGCAGTGCTTTGGATTTGCATATTAATTAGAGCTACTGTAAACATTATCTAATAGAAGATTAAGAAGGGGGGTCCAAAAGTGAGTTATTTAAAGGCTGGAGAAGGAGCTGCAGGAGGGAGGCGATGGCACCTGGAAATCCTTGCTCTTTGAGAACATGATAAGCGCCCGAGGTCGTGGACACACCAGGTCTGGTGCTTGGTGCAGGTGGTGCTGTCTGCGGGGCTGTTCGTGCTCCAGTTCCATAGACGCAGCGCTCTCCAGTCAGAACACAGCTCAGACCCACCTGCTGTCAGAGGAGGCGGCCAAGGCCAAGGGACTTCAGGCATTCACCTGGGCTCAGGGGTGGGATGAGCTGGATCCAGGTCTTCCTGTGCCCTTTTCATGCTGTTTTTTTTTAAGGTGTTTTCATTGCCAGATTCCTGTAACTCATCTGCCACCAGGGATGAGGAGCAGAGTGTCTGAGATTTTTCAGGAGTAAGCTTACAGAGCTGAGTGCAGAGGTATGGCTGAGCGGTGTTGCCCTGGATGTGGTGTGGGAAGCCCAAGGGCGTGGTGTCCCCCGGCCATGACCCATGGCCTGCATGGTCATAGGCTATGGTGGGGACTAGGAGGCGGGACACGGCAGCCTGGCCGAGCATGGTCTGCACTGGGCCTGAGTTGTCCACGTGGGGCGTGGACTGGGGACATTGTCACAGGAACCACACACGTCTATAGGACTGTGTCAGCAGCGTCTGAACTGGCTCAGCATTTGTGGAGGTGGTGTTGCTCTGAAGTGCTGAGCTTTATTTTAGAATAATTAAAATCTTTATTTGGTCCAATTTAATAAAATGTTTAAGCCACCTAATCTGTTTTTTTCCAGAGGGGCAAATCTTTTTTAAAAATACAAGTTTTGCTTTCACTTTAAAATAAAAATTCTTAGTTGAGAAAGCTCAGAGGACACACACAACTATGCAGACTGTTACAGGAGTGTTTCCCCCTTTACCTCATCAGTACTATTCACCACATTTTGGTAGATGCTGACTTATCAAATCAGATTCCGCTCCAAATGTGTGTGAACGCATTGGAGAGGCTTGTTTTTTTTCACTGTGAAATGCAGTGGTGCCTAGACGCCACATTAAAGTAATAATAATGACTATTCATTGGCTTTGATGCTTCTTTGTAGTATTTGTACTTGTAACAGGAAATACCTGCCGCTCATTCTTGAACATTTTTAAAAGCACAACTTCAAACATTTAGGCTGTACAGAGCAGTAGGGGTCTGTCCATCTGACTGCTGGTTCATACCCACTATGGAATTTAATAACACTCATTATAATAACACTCATGATAGTCTGCCTTTGCATTTGGGAAATGTTCTAACCTCAGTGAACTTGAACTAGACTTCTGCGCAACTTAATTGTTTACATTTCCTGCTTTTCTCTTGCTCCTGTGTGTGATATTGTTAGAGTGTGTGCAGAAATTGTGGTCTTAACCACCACATGGGTAACAATTCAGAAGGGTGAGTTTAACTTGCTTTCTGTCCTAAGGCCTTATTATCCTCTGCTCTCAGAGTATCGTCCAGGCTTAGCAGGATCATAGCATCAGAGCAGCACAGCTTTCAATGAAACAGGACCTCAGGAAATACAGGTGATTGGCCAACTTTTAAAATAATATTTCTGTGTTGGAACACGCAACTTCAGCTGCCCAGAGGCCTAATTCCATTTCTCATTCCTGGTCTTGGGTTGATGGGGTGACATGAGCAGAATAGAAATTGAGTTGAGACTAAAATGGATTCAGGAGGATAACTTACTTCGAGGGATCTCTCAAATGGTAGTGTTCTAGGAGGAGGGCAGCGGGAACTGTGCTGTGCTTATTTCTGCCCCAGAGTTGATCACCACAGTTCAGAGGTTTTGGACCCGATGGTCTTGGTAGAATTGCCACCGTCAGCAGGCACGACTTAACACCTTTGAACTTACTGAAGGTGCGCTTAAACTAAAAGAGTCTCCCTGTGACAAGTTCCCTGGGATTACCATGGCTCATCCAGAGCTTCCCAGTCCCTGCCTCCCCTCAGCTGCTTCTGCATATACAGTGTCCGTTGACTTCACTATTCACACAGAGCCCTGGTGGCAGCAGCGACAGCAAGAGGTCAGCGTGTGTGGTCTTTCACTGACATCTGGCAGAGCTGGAATTTGATCTGCAGGGTTTGCGGTTTCTCTTCCTTAGAATACGGCATATCTGAAAATGTTTTTCATGCACAAAAAAGGACCCACCTTGTTTGCTTAATGTAGCCATTTGCACTTTTATTAGGCAGCTATGGAGTCAGTTCATGCCTGATGAGTTTTTCTTTGATTGAGGAAAACAGACACCGCCTTTTGTATCATTTGTCTTTTCCCCTCCAGTTGTAGAGCCTCTCAGGTAAAATCTTAGACCACATGAATGTAACACCTCTGTTGCAAGAAACAGCCTTCTTGGGTTGTTATGCACTTGTTTTTTGTTGTTTTTCAGAGGCTGTTCTTCCTCCTGCCCCTCCCCGAACCCTTCCCTCTTGGTGCTGTTTCACCTCTGAGTTTGTAGCCTGGCTTTTGAACATCTTGCAGAAATGGCTGTGAATTCTGTGTTGCCTTAAGTGATCTTACCATACCGGCATGTATGTAGGACTCAGAGAGACCTGGCTGTGTCTCCTTTCTGTTGTTAAAATAAGGTTAGATTATTTTCTTCTCTTCAGTAAGCGCTACCTTGCAGGTACTCCCCTTTGAAAGCCAGAAAGGATTCCCAAAAGTATAAACCTCCAGGGAATCTCACTTGTAGGAATACATAAAAATAAATGCCTTTTAAAAAAAGATCTGTCACTAAAAAAACAAAAAGGAAGCCCTCAGTGTGTGAGGTGAATCTACTGTAAAATGTGTGTGAGAGGCATGGAGTCCCCAGATAGCTTACCCAAAGGCAGGGCACAGTGTCAGATTATTTAAAAATGGCCCAAGGAGCCATAAGAAGTGAACTGAAGAAGAAGGAACTGATTTTAGATCAAAATGCCACTTAAAAATAAAACAACAGATGCCCCACAGGCCTCCTGGCTTAAGTTAGAAAAGGATAAAAATCTGCAGGAGTGAAAGAACTGTGCGTGATTCTGCGAATTCCTTCTCCAAAGTTTGTCAAGTTCCATTTAGCAGCAGAAGATTGAATGCCCGCCTCTGGGGGAAGCTCATCGGTGATCTCTTCTGAGGGGTGGAGACCAGGGAGGTAGTGCTAAGTGCTACAGAGAATAAAGACGGACAACTGATGGCTAATACTTGGGTGGTTCAGTTTATAACCTGGGGCCACAACAAGCACAAAACTAGTGGTTGGGCTGCCCACCCCCCTGGTGGCAGTAGCACTGGGGCCATGGTGGGCTTGCCATGCCCAGGAGGGGCGTGCATGTACATTGTGTGTGTGTGTGTACACGTGTGTACATGTATGTGCACGTGTGCATGTACATGCATGTATGTGTGTGCATGCTGGTGGTCTGCAGTCACATCGTGACTTACATGCAGGAGGTCCCACAGCAGGGGCCCCAGCAGAATTTGGGAGGGTGGAGGTGAGCTGTCTCTTTTGTAATTTTTTCATGGTAAATTGAAATTTATGACAGAGTGGTGGAATGGGTTAACATGTGTAATTAAACTGTCCAAAGTAGCCATTAAGTCTGGAAATAGATATATTAATTGTATTGAGATGTCCTATCGACAAACGATTGGTTATGTACGTGTCTGTTCCAAGGCCTTATGGCCACCTGTATATTTAAGTATTTTGAATGCTCATTAATAGCCAGAGTGGAGGACACTGGCTGGAATTTATCTCAGTCTTGTTGATTTCTTGGGCGTAAGTCTGGTTAAGAATGAGATTGCCAAAACATAGGTAATACAAGGAAAAGATCCGGGACTTGAAATATCCACAGGCTTGGCAGTCATTTTCCCGTGGTCGACCTTAATTATGAACTTCAAAATAATGTTTTGTATTTAATTTTAAGAGCTTTTATATATTGAAAATGCCTTGATCTTTATTCACATAAATGGTGCTGAAATATGGTCCCCCTTCCAGGAGCCACAGTGAACTACAGTAATGATTACTTCTGAGTATTTCGAAACGGGGACAAAGCAAAAGGACTGAGTTTACTGAGTTCCCTTTCGTTTCTCCTGCTTTTATAAAAATGTTTGGTGTTGTCACCTGCACTTTAGCAGCTTCTAACTTTCTGTATTGTGACTTTGGAGCGGAAACCCCAGTGGCCGCCCTGGGGGTGGTGTGTCCCCCACCCCCCAGCAGTTCGGGCTGGGAAGGGAGAGCAGCAGGGAACATGCCTTGTGAACCTGGCCCTGCTCTCCTTGGCTTGTTCAGCCCACTGTCCTCTGTTTACACTGTAGAATGTCAACATTTGTCACAGAATTCCCCTGCTCTGGAAACATGACCCCGCTCGGTCAGTTTGGGGCCTTGCTTCACACCTGCGTCCATGGCCAGATGCCTGCCTGTGGGACGAGTTCCCTCTGACTTGTTGAGTCTCATCTTCATGGTCAGAGACCCAGACGACTCGGGCCTTTCCTGCTGATCCGCTTTAGCAAACCTGGCCACTGAGGAATGTAAAAACAAATAACTACAAATAAATGGAGAAACTAAAACTCAGAAGCGTGGCTGTGTTGCTGTGATGAAATGCTTGCCTTTGAGGACTTTGGGACATCAGGGTCCAATGGTTTAATTTCCCGGCACCGCCATGACAGGCCTGTGGTGCCCAGTGACTACATGCCGAACCCATAGCACGTGCT